CTCGAAGCCAGCATCGTCGGCGGAGTAGAGGAGCAGAGCCGCGCGGCTCCTGGCGGCCGCTGCGGGAGAGAACAGAGCGGGGCGCGAGGAGATGTGAGTTGGCCGGAGGCCCAGCCCACTGGGGGCGGCCCCCCGCCCGGCGCTGGCTCACAACTCACCCCCCACGCGGACGTCCTCCTTCAAGAGCCTCAGCCACCCTGTTAGGGGAGAGGAGCGGAGGCAGCCCGTGAGCCCAGCCACCGCCTTCTCCTGGCCAGCTTCCAGCCCTGCCCCTGGGTAATGGGAAGCTGGCAAGCGCTCACCTTTCACATGGTTCTTTTTGAGAAGGAGGAGAAGGAAAAGCACAGCGGCAAGGAGTAAGCAGGCCAGCCACACCAGGGCCCAGCGCTGGTGGACGTCTAGGAGACCCAGGGGAGAAGACAGATTTGTTAGAGACCCCACTTCACCAAGGAGAAAAACTGAGGCTCAGAGAAATGAGGTGATTTGCCCAAAGTCCACAGCTCATAGTGTCAGAGCCAGTGTATGAATATAGATCCACCTACTTGGGTGACCTTGGATAAGTGACTTCACCTTCTGCCTCAGTTTTCACCTCTGTAAAATTGGGACAACAGCATCTACTTCATAGGATTGTTGTGAGGACTACATGTATTAATACACATAAAGCACTGAACACAATGCTGGGCATAGTAAGTGCTCAAATGTCAGCTAATATTATTGTCCCCTAAGCCTAAGGTTGCTGGACCCTTGGCCTCACTCTCTTGGATGACTTCAACAGCCTTCCAACTGGTGTCTCTGGTCTCTTTTTGGCCTCTAGTTCATTACCACACAGCAGCCCCAGAGATCTTTTAAAAATACAAATCTGATTACAGCCTTTCAAGAAGCCCCTACTACTTTTCACATAAAATCCAAATTGCTTCCATTGGCTCCCAAAGCCCTACATGGTCCTTGCATCCTCACCTCGTGACAGGTCTGCCTCCCAAGACCCTCCAGCTACACCGACCACCTTGGAGTTCCTTAGAAAGTACCCCACAATCTTCCCCAAAAGGCATCTCTAGCCCCTTCGGCTAGCTTAGCTCCAGCCTTCCCCCTGAACTGCTCACCCTCCTTAGGTTGGGTCCCCATTATGTGCATTCAGGGCTTTGAACACTTTTGCTTTGTAGTGAATGCTTCAGTAGCTCACACTTCTTAAACAACTGTTTAGTTAATGTCTTTCTAGATTCTATAGCTGGCATGGGGGCAGGGATTGTCTCTCTTTGGTAATGCTGAGATCCCTGCAAGTGCTCCTTGTGATTTCTGAATGAAGGAAGGAATGGTCCTCTTGATTCATATGAGCCAGGGAAGGACAAGGCCATTGTGTGTGCTGCCCCTAGGAATGGTTCCTGTCAAGATTCCAGCTCCTGGGACAGAGAGGAGGGGAATTCTTGTAATACTCACACTTGTCCATGGGGCAGGCCCATAATGCTCCCAGGTCATCATCCCACAGCTGTAAGACACAAAACCAAATCCAGAGCCCCCAACTTGGTCTTCAACACCCACCAAGTTCTGGTCCCAAATTTCCAGCCTCAACTATGCATATTTTCCCCGACACACAGGAGGTTGTCATAAGCTGCTCTGCCTTTGCTAATGCTGGGCCTACTACCTGGACTTGCCTCCATGGCAGATCTGGCCCACATGAAGACACCCTTTCTTGAAGCTCTCCCTGGAACCCAGAGCTTAGCACACTGGTCACTGACTATCCTAACCCAATGCTGGTTTCTAGCCAGCAGTGAGGACCTTGGGGACAGGAACTATGCTTCTTCAACTTTTAGCTTCCCCAGGGCTAGACACAAAATAAGTCCACAGAGCTGGCGGGTGAGTGCTAGAGGGGTGGTGAGGAGGCCCCTGCCAGGAAGAGTGCATTTCCTTGGTAACCTCGGCCAGGCACAGGAAGAGGTAGAAGAGGTTAAAGACAGGGTTTTAGGCCTTTTGCCCTTGGGCATTAGGGAGGGCCCTCCTGCCACATACTCACCTGCAGACACTGGCCTGATTGCAGGTCTTGTAGTAACTGCTCTCCAAGGCGAGCTGCCCTCTGCCAAGTCAAGGGGTGGGGGCTGTCACCTAGAGGCACCACAACTAGGAGACCACCAGGCTACAGCTGGGCAGAATAGTGGAGTTGGGGGGGGTAGTGGAGGGGCTGGGAGACTTTTGAGAGGCCACTGAGTACAAGGCCCTGGTCTGAGTCACCCCCACATCCCCAGAGACCAGCAGAGGGCCTGGCACAGTGGAAGGGAAATTGAGTAGAGTGAACATTTAAGAGCAAGCTTGAGATGGAGCCGGAGAGGTACACGGAGGAGGGTCCCCCAGCCCTCACCGTGGAAGCCCTGCTGAGCAGTGGGGTGCAGCCACTGGCTTCCAAGGCACAGAGTGATCTGTTGTCCTGGGGGCCTCGTGTCTCCACCAGCAGCATGTCATCCTTGAGAGGCCCCAGAGAGTCTGGAAAGGGTAAGAGCCCACTCCGAGTGAGACCCAATCTGGTTGGGGACTGCCACTCCCCTGCTGCATGCCTGACCTTCACCCCCAGGAACTTCCAGGGTTCACCCCTATTGCAGTGGCCCCGCCCCAGCACCCCCAGTCCCACTCACCAGCCCACAAGCACTCTTGCAACTGCAGCGTCTCCCAGCTGTTCACCTGCTTAGAAGGGGCCAGGGTTAGGGGCATGTCGAAAAGCAAGGGCTGGGGCCAGAAAAAACAGAGGAGGGACAGATGAGGGAGGCCTGCCAGGCTAGGGGTGGTCTGGACTTTGGACCTGACCTAAGGCAGACCTGGGTTCAAGGCTGAGTGATTAGGAATCAATCCATCTTTCTCAGGCTCAGCCTTGTGAGGTCCTCTGTGCTAAAGGGCCCTACAACCCTAAATTAGCACTTTTCATTTCTGACAGAGCACTTCATACGTGCCCTTCTCATCAACCCACCTTCTCAAAGAGGCCTTATCTGACCATCCCTCTTGAAATTGCAACTCCAACCCTCCTTTATCCTTCCCCACCTTTTCCTCTAGTTTTAACATGCTGTATAATTTACTCATGTCTGTAGTCTGCCTTTCTCCATTAGAACATAAGCTCTACAAGGGTGGGAACATTTATTGGTTTTATTCACTGACACCTCTCCCAAGTGCCTACAACAGTGCATGGCACATAGTAGCTGCTCAATAAATCTTGAATTAATATTTTTATAACAAACCTTTGGAGTTGTAAAGCAAACCCACTTCTGCAGGTAGGGAAATAGGATAATTATAGCAATAATCAAAGCAGCAAATACTTACTGAGCAATTAGTCTGTGCCAGTCGCTAAGGTGAGGCACTTATTTAATTTTCATAACTATGACGAGATTATTATCATCCCCACTAAACAGGTGAGGAGACTGGTGTTCAGAGAGGTGAAGTGCCCAGGGTCCCAGGGACTGTTAAAGTAAATAGTGGAACTCCTAAAGAGGAAGCCGGCTACCACTTTGCTCCAGGGACCCAAGGATGAAGTGGATCCAGAAGACAATGACTCATCTAGGGGTCCTTGAGGAGTCCTTCCCCCAGCCCAGCTCTCTGGCACCCCTTTCTTGCCTGGATACAGATGTTGGGATGGCCTTTCAGCAACGGGAACTCAAGAGCCTTCTGTAAAAAGAGGGTCATGGGTGGGGCCATGAGAGGCGATCCCCAGGAACCAACCCTTCCCCGACCCCAGGAACCTCCCGCCGCCTCACTTACGTTCACAGTGATATTCTCTCGAGGCAGCGGAGGGACCAGTGGCTGGCAGGGGCCCCCGTCCAGAGCCTGCCAGCACAGTGTGGCCTCGGCGGGCAGTGAGCACGGCGCGTCCAGCCGCCAGCCCTGTGGGGGCAGCAGGTGCAGCCGGGCAGCCCGCCAGAGGTTCCGGTGTGCACGGGGGTCTGCAGGGAGAGGGCGGGGTCACCGTGCACCCCCAGCCCGGCACGCGGCGGCCCACACTGCTCCCACCCTGGCCAGGCCTGTTGGTCCACTCACCCTCTCTAAAGGGGCAGATGCTGGTCCTGACGGAGTCGGGCTCCAGAGGCCACACCTGGAAAGGAAACAGGACTCCACAGCTCCATCCAACCCAGCCAACCCTCTGCTAGGCCCTGGGGACGCATTCATTCAGCCCATACTGTCTGCCCTCCTTGGCCCTCATTATCTGCGAAAGGGAGAGCATTCAGGGCATGCAGTGGCAGAAGACATTGAACGGTGAAGGTCAAGGGAGGGCCAGTCCCCTTAGGGAGCCATAGTTTCCACCTCAGAGAGGACTGTGGAGGTGCGGAGACCAGGAAGGAAAGGGGGACCCTCTCCCAATTCCCCGATCCCCTTCCCCGGGCACCCAGCTGGACTCTGCTCCTACCTGAATGCAGAGGCAGGGAACCAGGTCTGTGTGGTTCAGCGTAATGGTCTGTGGCCCAGTCTGCGGGACAAGCAGAGGGGAGAAGCTGGAGAAGATGAGGAAGAGGAACGCTGGAGGCCAAAGTCGAGCCACCAGGCAGGCAGCCGTTTCTCCACCAATGTTCCTTGCTTTGGGTGTGGGTGGCTGTGTCCTTTCCAGTGATCCCCTTTGATAATGTACTTGCATCCGTAGCACGGGCATCAGCCTAGAGTGGGAATGGAGTTGGGGAGGGGGAGGCCTCACCAGGTTTCTGTGCCACCAGGGTTTTGCAGGGCCCTGGGCCTGGTTCCAGTACAGGGAGAGGCCAAAGCGCTGCTCCTCAGAGACATCCAGCACCAGGCGCACATCTTCACCATCTGCAGACACATTGAGCCAGGGCAGGGCTGTGGGGAGGCAGAGAGACAGACCTCCTTCACTTCTTCTGCACACCCAAGCCTGGGTCATACCCATCCACTGACCTGTTGGAGTTTCCTTCAAACCCCTTAGACTAGGAGGCCCCTGGTGGGCATAACCTATGTCCCCATCTTGCACCAGACTTTGGCCACATCCCAAGGCCAAGCCCACGTAGGCCCCAGTACGTGGTCTTGAGACAGCTCTTCTCCTTGCTTCTCCCTCTGCACCAGAAAGATCCTGTAACCACTGTAAAATAAGTCATTCTTCTCTGCTCAGAACCTCCTGATGGCCTTCACATCACTCCCAGAGTAAAGCCAGGGTCCTTGCAATGGCTTTCAAGGCCCTCCCCAATTTGGCTGCTGTGACCACTCTAACCTCATTTCCTAGCACTCTTGTCCTTAGTTAATCTGCTGCAGACACACTGGTCTCCTTACTAACACAACAGACATACTCCTGCCTCAGGTCCTTTGCACTGGCTATTCCTTCTGCATAGAACCCTCCTCCCTCTGACACCCGCATCTCCTCCCTCACCTCCTTCAGGTCTTTTGCTCACTGACATCTGCAGCTCCCAACCTCCCTATCCCCCTCCCCCGAATTTTCTCCATAGCACTAATTACCATCCAACTTACTGCATATTTCACATTTCTATGTGTTTATTGTATCTTCCATCACCCCTACCCTGACCTTGACTCCCTCTATGAGAGCATGAATTTTGGTCAGGTTTTTTGTTTATTATGTCAGTTTTTAAAAATTGGTTTACCTCTAATGCCTAGGGCTATTCTTTGGGCAGAGTAATTACTCAATAAGTGTCTGATGAATGAGTAAATCAATGTTTCCTGAAAGAATGAAGCATGAAATCCATGATGTGTATCTGTGTCCTCAAAGCTCCAGATGCTGAGTGGTCTTAAATGAATTACCAAAGAGGCAGCAAGCTTAAGTTTAAGAAACTAAATAGAAAATGAAGTTGAAATAATTTAAGGATTCAAAAAACATTGCAGTGTTTATCTCTCGATCTGGCTGGTAGTTATGCAGGTACACACATATATAAAAATTAACTGAAATGGACATTAAAATTAGTGCAATTTACCCACTTCTCTGTATGTTATGCCATGATAGGAAAGAATATACAGAACAAAAAAAAATGAACAAAACAAAAATAAAATCCAAATAGTGCATGGGAAAAGTCATCAGAACCTTGAGTTTCTTAGCCCCCATTTTATGGTTTAATATTATGTTAATTTTGATATATGGGGGTGCACCATAATCTTGACAATGCTTTAGGGCCTCTAGATGTCCCTAATAAATGTGTTATGAGGACTGAGAGATACACCTTTATATTCCTAGTGCTTGGAACTAAGTAGGAGCTACTGCAGTTCATGTGTGATGGATGAATGAATGAATGAATGAAGTCTGAGAGCCTCTGAGATGTGGCAACCAGACCGGAAGTCAACTCCGAGGGTCCCTCACACTCCAGAAGCAGCCCCACCCTCCTCCCAGCCCTGCTGGCCCTAGCCCCTACCCCAGCAGCTCTGGATGCTGTCCTGGACTTCGAGCCCCCTGCAGTCTGGGAAGAGATCACAGAAAAGGCTCCAGTGGGGTTGGGAGCCAAAGAAAGGAGGGGGGCAATCCAACCCATGGGGAGCCCTGAGAAGGGCTCCCTGTTCCCTAAATACCACCCACATCTATTCCAGGGCCCAAAATACCTTCCCCAGGCACTGGGAAGCAATGTCACCTGGGGAGAGGAGGCATAAGGGACTGGGACTAGGGAGGACAAGAGTGAGACTGAGTGGGCCTGGGAAGAGTGTGAAAGCAGAAGAGCAGGGGCCAGCAGGGAGAGTGACTGGGGTGGAGGGCAGCACTTGGGGCCCCTGAGGCTCTGGGGCCACTTACCAGGCAGCTGCTGCGTGAGGTTGAGTTCTTTCTGGTACCTGGGCTGAGTGTAGGACCAGATTCGCACCTCAGCCCCCAGGGCGGCCTCGAAGCAGTCAAATACTACAGAGCCCTGTGAGGAGAGGGTGGTGGAAGGCTGGTGGTGTAGGGCTCAGAATCGAGGCCGAGGACTCTGGGCTCCTGTCCACAGACCGCTCCACTCACCCTCTACCCTAGTCCCAGCTGAGCACTGTTATACTGTATGGCCCCAAATTCTGCCATAAAAGTGTCCTCAAGGGCCTCCAGGAGCATACATCTCAGGAGGGGTGGCGGCAGGGCAGGGATAAGTCCATGCCTTATCTCTGCTGTTCTGGGTCACATGCCAAAACTAAGCCATCAGAGACCCCGGCGCAAATGTGGGAGCCCCTCCACACAGAAGTGGTTCCTACACCCAGTGTCTCGGTGGGCCACATGACTGCCCTGTGAGGTGGGCTAGCAGTGTTGTCCCATTATTTTCCAGGTAAGAGGATACTGGCTGGGGACCAGGGTCAGGAGGGGAAGTCAAGGGTTTGAGCAACCTGGCCCGAGGCGAGAGACATCTTCCACCCACGTGCGGCCCCCTGAGGTCGGGAGAAGCCCCAACACTTGGCACCATGGTGCACGTGGGGTGGACATGGTACGGCAGGAGGTCTGGAGAAGTGGATCCAGCCCACAGACTGACTTCCCCTCTGGAAGCCTCAGTTTCTCTATCTGGAGCACAAGGGTAATAACAAACCCTAGTTCAAGGGGGGAGTTTTGAGGATTACAAAAGAAAGTAAAAATTAAACTTTCCAAGGTCCTTCCACACTGAGCATTATCCCAGGTGTTTTTACATATATCAACTCACTTAATCCTCATCACAGCCATATGATGCAGGACTATTCTTAGTCCCACTTTACAGACAGGTAAACTGAGGCATAAAGGACTGAGAGGACTTGCCCAGAGTCCTGCCAGAATCAGGACTTAAAGAGAGAATGCACGTGAAGGCACTTCACACATTTCATCTTTGAAGCTGGTTATTATCATCATTAACTCGCATACCACAGGCTGACCGGGCTGCACGAGGGCAGCGGGCACTTGGACTTCCAGCAGGACGCAGCGGGCAGTAGGGTAGGCCTGGAAGGAGAGCACGACGTGGGCCTGGAGAGAGGCTGTGAGCAACAGGGCAGGGGGGCGGTCAGGCCCAAGGGCCCCAGGCAAGGCTCCAGGGACAGGCAGTCGGGCCAGCCGGGTTCTCCTCACCGTTCCCGTGCTCCTCGAGCTCTGCGTCAGCTGCTCCCCCAAACTTCTCTTCATCTTCAGGCTCTTCCCAGGACCCTGGAAGGACCCGAGAGCAAGGCTCAGGTCAGGCCCCAGCTCTGGCTTTGGGTATGGTTTCCTTCTGGAAAGTTCAGGGCTGAGAAGCAGAGGCCAGGCCTGGTGCCTGGGGGTGGATGGGGAGACGATGCTAAACTGGGGTGTCTGTCAGCCAGTATCCTGCAGCGAATACTGAGGATGCCCAGTGCAGCCCCCCCAGGGCCTCCTGCCCATCCCAGAAACACTCACGTGCACCCATGCACAGTCACAGGATGACAGGCTCACCATGCACAGCCAAGTGGATGACCACACGCACACAGAGGTCACAGTCGGTCTCCTCGTGGCATCTTAGGACCAGCTCTGTCTGCAGGCGAGTGGGCACCAGCACGGGGCCTGGAGCGGACACGATGCTCCCAGGCAGGCAGAGCACATCACCATCTGTGTGCGAAGGGCGGGATGGGAGCTGAGGCTGGTCAGACCCAGTGTCTGGTTGCACCTGACACCCCCAGAGGGCCAAGGAGCTTTGGGCTCTTCCTGGACTGCGGGTGGGTGGTGCGGGCCTGGGACTGAACAGCTACCCCCCGCCCCGATAAACTGGGAAAATCTTTTCTCTCTAAAAGTATGGCTACTCACCCCAGAGGTGGCAGGAAAGGCCCTGGGAAGGAGGTAAAGATGAATCAGTTTATGCCTCCAAATCTAATCACCATCTTTCCCTGCCTGAGGCCCCGAGCTCGCCCACCTCATTCTGGGGCTCCCTTTTCCAGGTCCCTCCCGGAAGAAGACAGACCCAGCTCTTGCCCCCTCCCCATTCTTCTCTTACCCCATCAGCACCCGACAGACCAGCCAGGGCGGTTCTGACAGCGATGGCAGTGACAGGAGCCAGGCTAGGGCCTCAATGGCCGCAGACCGAACCCTGAGCCTTCTCTAACCCTCCCCAGTCCCCAGACTCACCGGAGAGCAGCGGGCAGCATCCTGAAGCCCCACCACCCTCTCTAGAGAGAGGACCACAGGGTTTCGGCCCAGTGCCAAGGATAGAAGGAACCAGGACACAGGCATCTTCCAGGTGTCAGAAGGCACCCAGGCCCGAGGCCCTGTCCTGTCCCCCCCCGAGGGGGGGGCAGACGCCGCACCTCTGCTCCCACTCAGCCCCGCGCCTGTGGGCAGAAGGGGCGGGAATCCCTCCCCAGCCTTGGGGTCCTGGAGCTGGCTAGCTTGCGCACTCCCTCTCCCAGGAGTCCTGACTCCCGTCCCAGCCAAAGTGCTTTCGTTTTGGCTCCCGGCAGGCAGCCAGGCAGCTGTTCCCGCCCCGCCCTGTCCCTCCCACCAACACCAGGACTGGGAGCCAGCAGTCTCGGCCTGGAGTGGTGGCTTCGCCTCCTCCCTCTTTTTGTCCCCTCCTCCTTCTTCTCTGCTGACACCTGGCTGGGAGGGGCTCTTGGACAGGGTGGTGGCCTCATGGCTGAGTAAGGGAGCTCTTACTCACCCTGGGAGTCCCAAGGAGGAGACACCCCAGGGCCTGGGCAATCCTGGGGCTTTTCTGCTTCCCATGTGACTCTGGAATCTTGGAGGCCACTGAGTCCCCTCTTACTGGGCACCCCAGGTCCCTTCACATATACTCCTTGGGCCTGACTAATCCCTTGTGGGACAGGAGCTCTAAAGGCAGGGAGAAGGGGCACCAGAAAGTGGGCTTTTCACCACTTCCTGGCCTATGCGCAAGTGTGGTGTTGTGGGGGAGGAACCCAGGACCCACAGCCAGGTAGACAGGGTCCTACTTGTGCTGTTGGCATGGCTGGCTGCCTGACAATGGACCATACCACCTTTCTGAACCTGTGTTTTCCTTTCTTCTCTCTGAAGAATCACAGCGAGGATCAAGATTTCTGGGATCTCCTTTGCCTTCTCAGAGGCATTGCTCGTGAGGTGACAGATGTGGATGTGGGTGTGGACGTGGAGGATTTGGGCCACAAAATGATGCATAACCACCCCCAGGCATGGTCTTGCTGACCCCTCTCCCAACTTGGCATCCCAGGCACACTGGAGAAGCACCATGTGTTTCTTAGTTTATCCATCGTGTTTGCCTTTATTCATCTTTCTATATCTCTAGCTCTACAGTCCGTTCATCAACCTGGCCACCCAGGGCCCAAGCCTCTTTCCCTGAGTCCAGAGGCCTCCCTACCTCCCTCCCTCCTTGGTCTGGGAAAGGGGCATCCCTGGCTCCCAAAGGGGTTTTCTCTCCCCCGACCCCCTCAAGAGCCACCTCCCACTCAGAACTGCCACTCTCCCTGCCTTGCCCACCCCTGTCCAACCTCTCCCGCCTGGACTGGAGCATGTGCAGACTACTCTCTCTCTGGCGTTTTGGAGAGCGGAAGTGGGACGGTCCCCCACCCGCAACAGGCCTGGGGTCAGAGTTCTCAGGAAACAGTGACTCTCCCTGGGTTCTGAGGAAACATAAGCCTGAGGCAGAAGCCTGACACGCGTGGGAAACGGGTGGGGACAGTGGGTGAGATGCTCTGCTCCGGGGCTGGAAGGCAGAGTGAGGCTTTTTGGCCAGTAGTTCGGAGAAGGCACCCCAAGGATTCCAGTGTACAAGCCTCACTCGGTGGGCTTCCCGCCAGTGCGGCCACAGACATCCGGACTGCGCTGGAGCTCTGCTTAGCCTTGGTCTGCAAGTTTGGCGGCCTCGCGTTCCAGTTGGCGACAGAGCTCTAGGCGACCCCTCAGGCATGATCGGGCCCCGAGACCGCCCCAACCAGTGACTTTGGTGGAAGGGCGCGCGTCCAGCGCCCGCAGCAGGCGTGGCAGGTCGTGCAGCAGGCGGTAGCGTGGCAGGGCACGTAGCGGCGGGGGAATGTCGCCCTTGGCGCAGAGGCGACTGAAGTAAGCCTGAGACTGACCG